GTCAAATTTACCTATAATTTTTTTTAGGCAAGATAGTAGTCGAAGAAAAATATAGCTTATAAACTCAGGCGGTTTATTAGATAGAAAATCTCTATGATATACACAATAAAAAAAGATACCTTCAGGTGTACATCTCCGGGAGCCAAATTGATGCAACCCCACATAAGTTCCTTTGACAGCACCATTGTTGTACACCAAAATGGTTGGAAGGTTTCTATCTGGGTAATTCGGAATGCACTCCGTGGAGATTATCTTAACAAACTTGGTAGCTGGGTACTTCGTAGCAAGCTCTTCCAGGCAACATAGGAGTAACCCGCAATCTTGTATACTGTCACGAAATTAAAAGAACCAAATAAAAACTGAAAAAAGATAATTGTTTATCCTGGGTAGATTCCTCAAAGTACATAATGATTTGACTGCCAATATCTGAATTTATCATAAAAGGTGATAATCAACGCAAATGGACAAATTATTCCTGTTCAAAACGGTGCACGATCTTCAACATACTGTACGCAGATATAAGCTGGATCGCTGGCAATTCTAGCAGACTAGAAATGCTCTGAATCACCCAAGACATCACAACAAAGAGACGGTTGAGCGCTCATCAAGGTAGAAAACTTTCAAGAACAGGGAAAACAAAAGGTAGAATCCAGTGGACAAACTATGTCAGTAGAGAAACACAAGAATCCAGAGAGATCAATACAGTTTGGCAAAGGATAGGAAATCGGAGACGCAGACAATTCGATCTGTGAAGAAAATCTTGAACTCCTACCGAAGGGACACATGCCAGGTAGCAAATCAAGCAACAAAAAAGTCAGGATGTCATAAAAAATCTAGACCTTTGAACGAGGGGCACACCTGTCCTTGTAGAGCAATACAACGACCCAGACATCTGCGGGTGCCTGCGACACCTCCCGGACAAAATCCGAGCCTGAGATAGGCATCACTGACCCGAAACGAGCAACTTTTGCCACCTCCCGCATCTCCGCCAGCCTCCGCTTCCTAGGCTCCCGCCGCGATAGAAACCCCAATTCATCACCAGAGGGAGAGAGATCCAAACAGGGAACCAGGAAAAAGAAAACCCTAAGATTACCTGTACTCCTGGAGGAAGCGGTCGTCATCGAGTTCGGGATCGTCCTCGAGTTCGTCGAGCTCGGCGGGGGTGCGGTCGTCGATCCAGGCCTTAGATTTGGGGGCGAGGTCGGGGTCGTCGGCGGGAGAGAAGGGCGCGGGCTTGAAGGGCTCAGGCTTAGGCGGCAGGTTGCCGAGGCGCCGCTGGATGTCGTCCCACTGCGTGCTCGCTCCCTCAACGTCCTTGTACACGAAGTGGTAGTCCGCCATCGTCGCCTCCTCCTCTCTCGATCGCTCTCGCCTCCGCCTCGGGAGGAAATAGACTTACGAGTTGTATATAAAGATAATTAGTGAATATTAAGGCAACATAATATAACGGTATTTATTATTTGCATATTTTAGATGAATAACATTAAAGTTATTAAATAAATCAATAAATGATAAATATTTATTTTAATTTCAAAAAACTTATACAGACTATATGGATCAATTGTTTTACTTTTTTGAAAGTATAAAAGTATGTTATTTTTAAAATTTTAATCAATTTAAGCTGAATTTACCATAACGTTGGAACAAAAACCACTTCAAAAATTGACTTGGTTTAATGTAATGGGTTTGAAAAGAGAGAAGGACAAAGGAATGGTTGAGGGTAATTTGTCATTTTTGAAATTAGAAATTTTTTTTAAAGAAAATTTATCCTAAATTGAACTAACCTAAGTGGTCCTCATAAAGGTGCTTATAATATCTCAGTTATTATTATTATTATTTATTTATTTATTTTTTGAATCTATCTGTTCTGTAAATGATTTTATAGGTTTCGACATTGTCTGATAATGACAAATGCAAGCCAAACACGGTCTTATAGGCATTCAAAAAAATGGTCAATCTGTTGCCGTGAGCTCGGTGGATGAATCTGACGCTGAACAATGACGGAAGTTCCAAGTTCAATAATGCTGGGAAATAAAAGATAAAGAAGAACGAATATGCAGAACAAACAAATTA